AAAACATGCAAACAAGAGCAGACATCTTTTGTGTCTCTTTTTACATCACTTCCCCAGTGCAATTTGTTCTTGGTTTACCTGCTTCCTACTTTCTGACCATTCCTTCCCATGTCTTCCAGGGTTCTCTTTTTGCCCGACCCTAATGTTAGGATCTCATGTCCCTCTCTTATTCTCTTGTCTCCTTCTACATATTCTCCTTGGATGATCTCGGTCACTCTTGGCTTCAACCATCCATATGCTACAAAATCCTCAATTGTAAGGTTGGCTGGAGTTTTTTCTTTTATTTCCAGTTACTTACTCTCCACTAGGATTAGAGTTCTGGGGTGTGAGTAGCTTATGTTCATAATTTCTCATCTTCTTGGGTCTGCCTCCCACCTCACTCCCCTCTGCTTGGAATCTGTTCCTTCTTGCTTCTTTATTGCAACTAATGGTACTATCACCCACACCCTTGCATAGGCTAGAAATGTAGAATTAGCCTCTGTTCTTCCCTCTTGCATCCCTCACTTCCAGGTAGGCACTGAAATGTCCATCTCTTGCTTTTGATAGCTCTTAAATGTCTTCCCCTCTCCCCACGACTGCTGCCTCAGTTCAGTGCATATCACTTCCTGCCTCTCCGTCGCAGCAACCAACTGCCTTGTCTCTCTCCCCTCCAGTGTGTTCCCTTCTCCACGGCTGAAGCAATCTTTCCAAAATAAATTTTCCTCATGCCCCCCACCAGTGGCTTCCCATTGTGTATGATGTGGGAAGGTGAGGGCCTCGTAATTTAGTTCCTGCTTACCCTGCATATGAGTCTCCTAGGACCACTGTAACAAATTACCACAAACTCAGTAGCTTGGAACAACGGAACTTCATTCTCTCATATTTCTGGAGACCAGGAGTTGGAAATGAAGGTGTCAGCACGGGGGGGTCCTTCTTGGGGGCTCAGAGGGAGAGTTGTGTGCCTCTCTTCTAGTGGCTGGTGGTGGCCAGCCATCTGTGGCGTTCCTTGGCTTGTAGATGCATCACTCCAGTCTCCCCTGTGTGTCTCTGTGTCTTAAAATGGTCTTCTTAGAGGGACATCGGTTACTGGATTAGGTCCCACTCTGATATAGTGCAGCCTCATTTTAACTAATTAGATCCGCAAAGTCTCTATTTCCAAACAGGGTCACATTCTGAGTTCCAAGTGGACATGAGTTTGGCAGGGAGGGACCCCATTCAACCCTAGTACATTCTTCCAGCCTCAGCTTTACTGTGTCCTCACCATGGGCTCACTCATTTGCTTTGGTGCCCTCGACGGGTAGGAATTCACTTGGCAGAAAAAGAGAATTCCATGCAGAGGAAGGAGTGTGTCTGAAGGGCCACAAGAAGGTGAAATCTGAGCTGGGTCTTAATATACTTATGGAATTATTTTGGGGGTTTTTGTTGTTGTTGTTATTGCCTCACAGTGCTTGAAGACGTAGCTCAGATGTCACCTCTTTTATGAAGCCTTCCCTGAGCTCCCCAAGGACATTTCAAGTTGCTCGCTACTTAGTACCTATGTATTTAGTGGCCTTCACTTTTATGTTTTGTTTAATCGTTAGCTTGCATTCCCATCTGGCCTGTGTGGTCCTGGAGCAGACTCTGTGCATTTTGTCTGTAGGGGCCAAGCTTCCAGCCCAGATGTGGTTTTCCGGAGTGGGAGGTGGTTTGCCTTTTGTTTTTAAAGATTTTATTTCTTTAAGTAATCTCTACACCCAATGTGGGGCTCGAACTCATACCCGAGATCAAGAGTCACGTGCTCCACTGACTGAGCCAGCCGGGTGCCCCCAGCCCAGATGCTTTTGAAAGAAATTACCCATCTGCATTTAATCCCGTAAGAAGCGATCACATACATTTCAGGGGAGGAGATGGTCAGTCCTAACTGGATGCTTCTTCGCCTTAGAGGAGTTCGGGGTGACTCGAATGTGGAAGGAGGCTGTACCAGAGCCTCTCCACACTTCCTTCCATCTGGAGCTTCTGTTGTTCTAACTACAACCCCTTCCAGAAACAACGCAAACTTTTAAGGCACACAGACTGGGCATTGTGCTTCCTTTTGGTGGTTTCGAGAAGCTTCACTGTCACTGGAAGGGCTCGGTGTTAACATGAACCACATTAACGGACCCCCGTGGCCTTGAGAGATGCTCGCTGTCTCGGACCTCACTGGGAGCAGACAAAGCTTATGGACAAAGCCATTCCCACCCAGCAGATGCACTCGTAAAGCTTGGCAGTTTTTCCATGTTCTTTATGTGGACAAAAGGATTTTAAAGACTGTAATTTAATGCTGTTTTGGATTCCTGTTTCTGTTGAATCGATTTTAATACCACCTTGTTACAGAGTCACATTTTCCTTTTTGATGAAAACGAAAAAGAGGTTTCACTGTGGGGAAAACCAAGGAGTGGGCCATTCAACTACATTCCTTACAGAGGTGATCAAGGTACAGGGATATTGGAAGAGAAAGCAAACACCCTATATGTAAATACCCTTAAACATTCATTTTTTCCAATTACAATGAGCTATGTTGATCTATTCATTGGTACTAATTCTTGTACCACCTAGGCGTGTTGGGAAAATTGCCACAGATTGTAAACAGGCACTTTTTAACTCAGAAGAACAGTTTGTGGTAAAATTCTATTAATTCAAATTGCCTAGAAACAAAAGTGACTTCTAAAACTACTCCGCAGTCCCAAATTAGAGATCGTGTTCCCTCTGTAGTTTCCAAAGAAAATGCCAGGTTCTCTTGGTCTTGGGAGCAGCACTGACTCTATATCACACGGTTACATTTTTATCCCATTTTTACCCCCCTTTGGAGTACGCAAGGATTGAAGGAACAGAGCTTCTCACCGCAGCCAGCTACGAATTATGTAGCCGAAATTCATGGAATCGCAGCCTGTCACGGTTGTCATTGTGTAGCGGCCCTTTGCACATGGGTTGAATCATTTTGAGAAACCCCATCCCATGCCCAGTACGGACTGAAGTGCCTGTACTGGTGAAGGGGCTTTGCAGAGTTTCAGAGGCGTTGTGCCATTGCCGTCTTTCCTGTGGGGCGGGCATTCCGAGCGTGGGCTCCAAGTGGTGGCAGGGAATCCGGGAACCAGGGTAGGAAGACACGTCACAGCTTTATTTTTTATGCATCTCTTGACTAAAACTTAACCTCAGAAAACATGTACCATGGAAGCAACGATCCATCATGGTATTTGTGGACTCTGTGATTCTGTCACAGATCTCTTCACCACTTCAGAGTTGGTGGTACAGCACGGGTAGGTCCTACTTAATGTGTTAATAAGCACACACAAATTTGTTTAATATTCTGATAACTATATCCGTATCACCCATTTCTTCTGTGAACTTTTAGGTGCTACTTTATGTGTTAGTTTTAAATGAAAAGCATGGAAAACATGAAAAACCAGGAAAGACCTGAGAAATTGTCACAGAATCAAGGAGACGAGGGAGGCACGACGCCTCAATGTCACGGATAGACCCCGAACTGGATCTCTGAACAGAAAGAAGACAATAATGGGAACACTGGAGAAATCCAAGTGAAAGTCTCTGAAATTTGGTCAATGATGGTTTCTTAGTGTTGACAAGTATACACCACGGAAATGTAAAGTGGTAACAGCGGGGAAACCAGATGAGTGTTACTTGAGAACGCTCCGTACATCTGATTTTACAGTGAGAGTCACGGTGTTGGGCCAGCTGCCTGCCCCTAGAGATCTGTGGGGTGGGACTTCTGTGTCATCTCAAGGCCGTCACTGTCACAACTCTGAGGCAATTGGAGACCAAGCCAAAGATCGGGAGAAATTTTCCAGAGAAATAATTTGCAGCGTATTCCAGTGGGAAAGGCATGGCCGTGGGTTCACTTTGTCCTCTGTGGCTAGGAGCTGTTCTGGGCTTCCTCTTCCCCTTTGAGAGTAAAGCCATCGATAAAGGCCTTATCAGTGTCCATGCGAGGACTAAAGATCACGTGCCCACCAGGTGGCCCTTCTGTTGGTTTTAGCTGGTGTGCTGTCGTGCATTTTACATGCCAGGCACCACGCTAAACACTTTTCATAAACTAATTTAGTGTTCATAATACCTGTATCACACAACCATTTCATTCTGAGAGTGAGAGGCTCAGTGACCTCAGTACCCAAGAATGCTTAAGCTGGACTAAATCTCAGGTCCGTGCTAACTGCGGTACATGGTGTTCCTTTATCTTCTCTCAGGGCTAAGCCTTTCCTAAGGCTGGATGGACCTGGTGACCGGGTGCTCTTTGCTTTCTCTGACTCCTGAACCCCTCTGTGTCTGTTTTGCACGTACATCCACATCCAGATGCTCTCCACATGTCTGTTGCCCGTCACGGTTGGCTTGTCTGGACTTGAGATTACTCCATTGTAAAATGAGGGTGTTGGGTGGTCCTCAGGAGTGTCCAGCGTGGAAGGCCTATTCTGCATTCTGTGAATTTTAACGGCTTATTCCAGCTGTTTAATAGGGGTGACTATTGGATCACTGAAGCCACAATTTTTCTAATTCGTATTGGATAAGGTCTGCATTCCTGGGTCATTCTCCCAAATTCTAGAGAGAGGAGAAAGAAAAGAGCTCTAAGATTAGTGACCTCCTAACACCATGGCAATGAAAAACAACCCAAAAACCACCAGAGACCACTGTGACATTTATCCGTTCCCTAATTGGGATTTTACTGAGGGATTACTCTAAAGGCCGTGGGAGTAATTTTATTTTTTTGTTCCCTTCCGTGATTAGGGCGGAGGCACCACGCGTCACTGTGTAGTTGCCAGTTATTTCAAATTGAAGTCTTTTGGAGGGGGAAAAAAGAGTAGTTACCGCTGTTAAGTAGCCGCGCAGGTGAATTCAGCCAAAAATGGTTACGAGGCAATGAGCCCTATTTCCGAAATTGACATGCACGTGCACATTGTCTCAAAGTGAGAAAAGTGAGAGCAGCACTGGTACACTTTGTTTACTTAAGTGGGGCACCTGTTGAACCCATGATTTGCTCTCTTGTTTTCCAGTTTTTCCCCTACATCCTGCTCCTGGTCGCCATCCTCCTGTACCTGCCCTCCCTGTTCTGGCGTTTTGCAGCAGCTCCTCATCTTTGCTCAGATTTGAAGTTTATCATGGAAGAGCTTGACAAAGTATACAACCGCTCCATTAAAGCCGCAAAGAGCGTGTGTGATCAGGACATGAGAGACGGTCCCGGCCCCATTCCAGGTGTTAATGAGAACACAGGACAAAGGTAACTCAGCCCCCGGCTCGTTTCTCATCAGGCTTTGGGGTGTGACGTCTCAGCCCTTCTCCTGCCCCTCTGGGCTTACGGTTCGCACTGTACTAGATGGGGGGGGGCGGTCATCCACCTACAGACAGGCTGTGGGAGCCTGGAAGGCCTGCCCCCGCGAATCTCACCCCCACCTGCCTGCCTCCGCACCTGTCCTCACATCAGGAAACTTTCCCTTTTTGCGAGCAATGCCGCCGTCTCGTGGTCTGGAAGGCAGATGTAGGTAGGGTAACAGGTTAAGGCGCTACGTACTTGCTTGCTTTGACCTGCTCCTCAATGGAGAAGCACAGAGGATTATGGGGCTGCTGAGCTTGGAGAACCGGGGTGAGAAAAATGGGCAATGAGTAGGCAGTGCATTGCCTGTTGCACAGTCTTCTCTGGTTCTTGTCATCAACAATGGTGATCATATTTATAGCTAATATTCCCGATACCACATTGAGCTCTCCTAGTACATTATCTCATTTAACCCTCAGAATGTCATTACAACTAACTGCATTTATTTACTGCCCCCCCCCCTTTTCCCCAGATAAAAACATTCTCCCATAGCTACCAGTGGGAGAGCTGGGACCTGACCCTAGTCTGTCCGTCTGGAGCCTGACCCCCCTTGCCCTAGGAGCTGGCTGCCTCCTGCCCCTTGCCTGCAGGAGGCGCGCATGTTCTGGTTGGGCTGGAAAGTCTTTATTCTGCACACTTGAGAAAATTGTAGGTTTGTTTTTTTTTTTTTTTAAAGTAGTAGAATCAAGCAGTCAACATTTAGCATTTACTGAGTGCCAGGCACTTTAAGGATTTACAATTATAACTCATTTAATGAACCAGACCTTTAAAACGTTAAGGGGGAGAGCATTTTATTTTTTTTTTTAAACAGGATTTTATTCCCTGATACCCCAGCGAAGTTATAGGTAAAGTAGGGAGGGAGGAAAGGTGTTTGAGATTTTTAGTGTGATATTGCTCTGTGTGTACGTCTTTAACATTTGATCTTCGGAAGGGTTGAAGTTTTTATTCTCCCCCCACCCCCTTTAGTTTGTGGGAGATATCTGAAAGCCACTTCAAGTACCCAATTGTGGAGCAGTACTTGAAGACGAAGAAACACTGTAACAATTTGATCGTCAAGTACGTCAGCTGCCGGTTGCTGACCCTCAGCATAATACTGTTAGCGTGCATCTACCTGGGCTATTACTTCAGCCTCTCCTCCCTCTCAGATGAGTTTGTCTGCAGCATCAAGTCGGGGATCCTGAGAAATGACACCACCATCCCCGAGCGGTTTCAGTGCAAGCTCATCGCCGTCGGCATCTTCCAGCTGCTCAGCTTTATCAACCTCATGGTGTACATCCTGTTGGCTCCCGTGGTTGTCTACACGCTCTGTGTTCCGTCCCGACAGAAGACGGACATTCTCAAGGTGTACGAAATCCTGCCCACTTTCGAAGTCCTGCGTTTCAAGTCTGAAGGGTACAACGACCTGAGTCTCTACAATCTTTTCCTGGAGGAGAACATAAGTGAGCTCAAGTCCTACAAGTGTCTGAAGGTGCTGGAGAACATCAAAAGCAGCAGCCAGGGTGTCGACCCAATGCTTCTCCTCACGAACCTTGGCCTGATCAAGATGGACGTTGTCGACGGCAGAGGACCCGAGACTGTGGAGATGATGGCACAGGAGGAGGAAGACCCGACAGCAGAGCTCAAAGGTAGGGTTAGCTCTCAGGGCAGAGGCTGAGGAAGCCCACGGAACACCCAGGCGGCCGGTCTCCACGAACCGTCCCGTCTTTACCCCGGCCCGGCGTCCCTAAACCATTCTCCTGTGTGGTCTTAGGTGAGACCCCTCCCCTACTGGGTGACGGAGGGAGAGAACTGGTGCTGCCTCAGACCTCCACAGGAAGGTGTGCCTCCCCCAGACTGTCCTCTCCTCCTTTTCCTCCTCACGCTGTCTCCTGCGCTGCCTCTTGCTCAGGCATTTCTGCTTGCTGTCCTGCTCGCTCATGCTTGTCCCGTTCTGCTGCTTCTGCCCCTGCACCTCTGAGCCTCTTGCCTGTTGTTCTCCACCTCCTTTCAAAGAGACTGAAAGTTCATTGATTTAGTCGTGGCGCTGACCTGGCTTCACTGTGCTCTGAAATTTGGCTCAGAAGCAAAAGCCGGTAAGGCAAAGAATGCTGAGATTTCTAGAAGGGAAAGTAATTGGCTTCCTGCTGTGTGACTTCTGCCATCAATATTTGTTTTCCATTTTGACAGATTTGAATGCACCCAGTGAAACTAAAGTAAGCAATGGAGGGAAGGATGCTCGGCAGAGGCTTCTGGATTCTTCTTGCTGAAGGTTTTTCCCTTTGAACTTGAGATCTGTGACTTCTGTGAGGTGGGATTTGTAACGGCTGAAGCACTCGGTCGGGTTTCCAGCTGGTTTGCAGCCAGTGCTTCTTGGTAGAAACACTGAGCGTGTCTTATCGAGTCCCTGATGAAAATTACGGTCAACAGAATGGTGTGGAAGTAAGGTTCATGGACTTCCAACGAGAAGCACCATGGAGATAAGTGAACCACAGCAAGTGTTGATGTGTAAGTCCTCATCGAATGGAAAGTGGAAAGGCTCATCAAAGAGTCCTAGCCCTTTGAGTGCCGCAGAGGGACACCTTTCTGTGGCGATAGTGCAGTGAGACTCAGAGCTACCAGCAAGGACTTTGGGAGGCCTTATTTTTAATTTGTTTTAGGAAAAAATAATAAACATGTCAGGACACAATTTTAATCTGAGTCTCCTCTGTGTTAATAACTGTTGGACAAGAGAAACATCCACCGACCCACAGGCAGTCCTGCTCCCGGTGGTGTCCTAACCTGGGGACGGTGCTGGTGTCTCTTCACACTGCTGCTTGTCACCCTGGCTAACTGAAATCGCTGACCGTGGTTTGTCGCACTCTGCTGGGAAGGGCTGCGGGCCCATGCACTGCTCTGCCGGGAGCCTTGGTGAACGAGATGTGTGCAAAGGATACTTCATTGTGACTTCTGTACAGGAAAAGAATGCCGCAAAAAGGGCCCCGTGGGGAAATCTGCACGTGCACAGCAACTCAGTTTTCCAAGAGGTTTTCTGCAGGTAATCCTCTGCTGTCAAAAGAATCGAAACAGGATGTTACTTAAATGAGCGGAACACAGAATGCTTAAAACAAGGGACATTTTGCTTATTAGGATCAGAACATATAAATGACACCTGCCATATGGCGTGCTTGGAGCCAGAACTTAGCGGTTTATTTACACGGGAGCATATCTTTTAAAAATTCATTTTAATTTAGAAGTGTATGATATCAAACTTGAGGCCATTTGGGAAGGACGTTCTGGTTTTGATGGAGAATTATAGACTACATGTTAAAAACGGGTATATAACACCCAAGCATTATTTCATAAACATTTAAGTCCGATTCAGAGTATGTAAAAAAAACTTTTCCCTTTCTAACCGTGTAAGTGGGTCCTAACTATGTTTACATTTTATACAAAATTCTTTAAAACCGTACCTGTGGATCTCCCTGTGTTTGTTCTTAGGACGTTAACACATTTCTAAAGTAAGTAATCCTCAGGAACCTAAAGTTTACGTTTGACTCTTAGCGATAGTTGTTTAATATAATTACTGTTTTTTGAAAAACAAAAGTTATATAAGCTGAGAATATTCTGAGAATATTCTAGTCTCTCTCCAGAGTATTCACAGAAGTGGATTTTAGCTGTGCCTCTGTGATGGTTTCTGAGATGGAAATCTAATAATAAGTATTAAGGATGCAATCAGTGCTTTAAATTATTCTTATTACGTGATATTTATTACCATTGAATTACAGTGTGATTTAGAAATGGTAGTAACCTAAATATCCCATTTCCCCTCATTTTTATATCACTGTGTGTGTGTGTTCACTGTTCACAGTTCTCCTCACTGGTTTCTCTTTATACTCGGAAAAGATTTCTGAGAGGTATTTTTCTATCATATACTTCCCCCGCCCCCGCAAAAGCTTCATCTTCTCTACAGGCTGCCCCTTATTTATATTTTGAAGAAGTAAAAGTGGATCCATTATCTTAGGAAAACAGCTCCGTAAGCCCTGGCACACGTAATCCTTTCATCAGGATTGTGGTTGGAGTCCTTGACCTCTGTTCCTTTTTGCTGTTCCTGCCTGCTGAGCTCCAGTGGGGTCTGCGATGTCCCAGGCTAGTCCTGCTAGTCACTGATTGTGTGGCTGTGATGAATAAGGCACAGCTTTGAGGAGTTCACAGTCTAGTCAAAGGCCGCAAAGGCAGAGGCAGGTACAAAAAAGGAGCAGCCACAATAAAGGCCCTTCCAGAAAACTTCCAGCAAACGCTCTGTGTTCTGGGTGGATGCCATATTGTTTTCCTCTCTGCCGTAGCCTCTGTAGCCGGTGGTTTTAAGAATCTGGTCGCAGTTTTCCCCAGAGCTTCTTTAGCCACAAGTACTCCAGTCTGAAGCTTGGACAAAACGATAAGGTATCGATTTTGAGTAGTAGGAGCTCCACTGGCCTTTTGCACCTGACCTTGCGGGTGAGGGCAAGCCTGTGGCGGACATGGAGTTGCCTGTGAACGACAGTCGTGGAGCTAAGGGGCTGATGTGGATGCCTGGTCATACATTCTGGCTTGGGAAAAAGTGTTATCAAGAAAGGTAACTCGTTCGGGGCGCCTGGGTGGCGCAGTCGGTTAAGCGTCCAACTTCAGCCAGGTCACGATCTCGCAGTCCGTGAGTTCGAGCCCCGCGTCGGGCTCTGGGCTGATGGCTCAGAGCCTGGAGCCTGTTTCCGATTCTGTGTCTCCCTCTCTCTCTCTGCCCCTCCCCTGTTCATGCTCTGTCTCTCTCTGTCCCAAAAATAAATAAACGTTGAAAAAAATTTTTTTTAATAAAAAAGAAAGGTAACTCGTTCATCTCCTGTGAGTTGCTGGCTTACAGGACTACTTTTGAGGGTCCCATTTTCTGAGGGTAAGAGTCACTTAAAAGGGGACAGACCGATCCTAAATGTGTACCCCAGCGACTGACTTTGTTTCCGGCTCACGTCTTCCTAATAAAGCACCAGCTGGGCCTCGAACGGATCATTCTGAAAGCAGTATCCAGCCACGTGTTCGCTTTTACCACACGGAAGGCAGAGACTTCCCATCTTAAGACGGGAATGTAGACATTCTTAAGCCTCCAGGAAGTTACAGACCCCTTGCCAATACTTTTAAAGCTACGAACCCTTTCCTCTGGGATGCACACAACACTAAATACACCTTCAGGGGCCATCGTCGTCCACGAAGCTGTGCTCTTGTGGCTGGAGACCAAGGCGCACGGCACAGAACGGAGGCCCCTTTGCCCACGTGGAAAGCTGCTGCGTGTTTAGTGAAATCGTGTCTGCGCACTCTTGAGCGTGCTCTACCTTTTGAGGAATGGATTTCATTTTGTAGAGTCAGGCTGAAAAAGTCAACTAAGAGAGTGCGTGTGGCTGGCAGTGGCCCGGAGCGACCCCTGTCCGGCTTCTCTAGAGTGCGGGTGAGGGTGAGCACAGCCCTTGTCAAATGCTTTGTCCTCCTTTGTAGCTGTGCTGTGAAAATGCGAGAACTTCCAGCTGTGCGGCAGGGCTTGCTGCACGTCTGTGTTTCGCTCGCTCGTAGAAGCTCCCTGTTCACTGAGCATCCTCTCCTATCCAACACTGAGCGGAGGTGGGCTGGGGGCGCTGCCGGCCTCCGTCCTGTGACAGGGAGTTCTGCTCCTGGGGGTGGATTGCCGCATGCGTTTTAAACTGTGTTCGCGTTGGTTTATTTTGCTTATTGTCAGTCCCAGTTGACAGAATATCTACAGTGATGGGAGTTGTTATCTAGTGCTGTACCGCAGGCTCCTAACACAGCGACTGGCTGGAGTGTAACGGACATTGTGTAAATATTTGGTGAACACATGAACACACTGTTAGGAGAAGTCCTAGTTTGTTGGCAACTAACTGTGTTGATTTAAAAGGCAAACCGTCCTTGGCAGGAGACGAGAGGGGAGACTCAGCCTCACGGTGGAGAGAGGAATATTTCTGTAAATGACTAGGTCTCTACATGTAAGTAATGACAGTCCTTGGCTTTTTACTGTGAAGTTGTGACCAGTTTCCAAGTTCAGTACAAGTTCAGTGTTGCCTTGCAGTGATGAAATTTTTTTTTTTTGAAATTGAAGTTTTAAAGCCCCTGATCTCCGTTATTTCCCAGAACGACCTCTTGAAAAGGAACGTTGATTGAAATGCGCAATTGCCAGTAATTGGGGGTTCTTCTGAGGGCGTGGAGATGAAGTGGCTCCTTCTGGGCGATCGTTGGCCTTTTGGTCCTGTTTTTCACAAGTGATGTGAAACCTTTAAAAAAGATTGGCAAAGATGATATTGTGTCATTTGTGGAACATAATAGATGTTAATTCGTGATTGCTTTGTTCGGCCTGCTGGAAATGAAATGTATTGTTTCAGCGTTCTCTCTTTAGCCGTAAAAATACCGTGTCACTGAAAGCATGTGTTTGATCCGTGATTGTTCTTCAAGTTCTTGAAAGTGACAAGAGTTTCTAATGCCTTGAGTGCTCTCCCCTGCCCACCAGAGGAGGAAAGTCCTTGTAGAATTTGACAGTGTCACCAGTGTTCCCTACAAAGGATGAAGCCATCAATTCCTGTTTACAAGTCGGAGTTTTTTAAAGGCACCGTAATTACAGCCTAATGGGGTTCTGTAAAGCGGTGCTCTAGGTGTAATTCACATTCTTTTCAACGACCAAACATCTCCAGAACTTTTAAAGAGAGACACGCATGCTCTTTTTGCTGTATCATTTGGTAAGAACGATCACTTTCTGTTCCACAAGAATCAAAGGATGACAGCGTATCATGGTTAGAAAACAGTCCTTAAAAAAAAAAGCACAAGAGCCTTGAAACTCTCCAGTTTGGTGGCTATCACTGTTACATTTTTGTATTTCCACGTAAGCCGCCTGTCCAAGTTCTGCGTTCTGATCCAGCCGGCCTCCCTTTAGGGAGGGATGAAAGGTGGATCCCTCCCTAAATCAAGGCTGCTGTGTAGGGAAGGGTGAAGCACTCTTTTGGTTCTGCACTGTTATGCCCACCTAAATAAAACTTCTCTCACCAGTGAAAAATGTGTCTTCCTGCTTCTTGCCTTCTCTTAAAGGAAGACGGGCCCTGAAATGCGTGGGGAGGCCCATATTCCTCTCTGCTGGACACATGAGATTCACTCGGTACTCTCCACAAGCCGGCTGGCAGCAACCGAAGAAGAAAGTCCTCGATTAAGGGCCCACGGATCCTGCAATTTCCACAGCAGAAATCACACGCGCTCTCTTGCCTAGAATCGAGTCCCAGGTCCTGCCCACTAAGGGGGAGGAGATTGTACAGGCATAACCACGGGGGAGAATCATAGGGCCATCTTGGGAGGTTCTCCTAAATCCCAGCCCCTCTGTCTCTGAGCTTGCTGTACAACCTCGACATCTGTCTGAGGCCTCCCTCCATTCCCAGAGCTATCTTCGAGCCTCTGACCCCCTCTTTCCTGAATTTCTCTTATAGTCTTTCCCTGTCTAAGCATCTTCTGCATTCCTCTCAAGACTGTTGGGAATACAAATCCGGTCATGCCAGCCCTCCCCACCTCACCCCCACCATTTTAAATCCCTTGAGAGTCTTCACGGATTTGGGGATAAAGAACACACTTCTTCTTCAGGCTCATCTCTACCACCGTCCCTCCCGTCTCGGATGCAGCCTCATGTCCTGCTCCTTAAAGGACCCTCTTCTTCCTCAGGCGCTCTTCCCTGTCCCCACCCCCTCTTCCCTTCTGTTCAAAAGTCAGCTCTGCATCAGTGGGAACGTCAAATGGTGCAGCCACTATGGAAAACAGTATGTCAGGTCCTCAAAAAAATTAAGCATAGAATTGCCATCTGATCCAGCCAGCAACCCCACTTCTGGACCTGTAGTAGCTCAGGCTGCCATAACAGAACCCCAGAGGCTGGTGGCTTACACAACAGAATCACTTTCTTATGAGAAGGGACCCTCTTTCTGGAGGCTAGACATCCAAGGTGGAGGTTCCAGCCAATTCAGTGTCGGGTGAGAACTCTCCCTGGCTCGCACACAGCTGCCTTCTTGCCACGTCCACACGTGCCTTTCCTTGGTGTATGTGGTGATTGGGGTGGGGCTGGGGTGAGGGTGGGGACATATGTCTCTTTTCCTCTTCTAAGGCTACTAGTCCTATGGTGTTAGGACCCCACCCTTACGAGCTCATAATTATCTCCTCAAGACCTTATCTCCAAATACAGTAGCATTGGGGGGCTAGGGTTTCAACATCTGAATGGGCGGGGGCGGGGGCAGAGGGAGAAGGACTGTCCAGTCTGTGCACTAACATGTTAAGGTGACAAAAGGGTCTTTGTCATGTCTGTGTGGAAATTAGGAAACCTTGATTTTTATAACCACACTAGATCTTGTGACATGCAATTATACCTTTAGAGAGCTGCCTGTAGGCAGGTATATTCCTTCCCCTTTTTGCACATGATCCCCTGTGAGCTAACAAGCTTTGGAGTTCTTCAGAGCAATCTGGAAAACTGCCTGCTGGGCTATATAGTCCTCGGTAAGACAGGGAACAAAGCCTTTACTAACCTACTTTGAGGCTGACTTTTTTTTCAGTCAGCAAGTCCAAAGCAGGGTATATAACTCAGAGAACTGAAATTCGGGTCTTTTTTGAGAGAGCGTAAGAGCACAAACAGTAGAGGGAGTAGGGAGAGAGAATCTTACACAGGCGCTAGATTCAGCACACAGCCCAACTCAGAGCTTGATCTCATGACCCTGAGATGATGATCTGAACCCAAGCCAAGAGACGCTTAACTGACTGAGCCACCAAGGTGCCCCTGAAATTGGGCTCTTGAAGAACTGTGCATCTGTGTTACAGCACCATTATTCACAATAGCCAAAATATGGAAGCAACCAAAATGTCCATCGGTGGATGAACCAATAATGGAATCATTTATATACAGACCCTCCTTAAAAAAGGAAGCAATTTCTGATACACGGTGCAACATGGATGAACCTTGAAGACATCATACTCAGTGAAACGAGTCAATCACAAAAAGACAACCTCATAGGATTCTACTTCTATGCATTACCTAGAGCAGTGAGATTCACAGAAATAGAGTAGAATGGGGTTTTCCAGGGGCTGGGGAGAGGGGACGAGAGAGTTTGTTTAAACAAAACAGAGTTCAGTTTTGCAAAACGGAAAGAGTTCCACAGATTGGAGAGTGGTTATACAACAATGGGAATGTACTTATCACTACTGAAATGTACACTTAAGAGTGGTTAAGGTGTTAAATGTTATGTTATGTGCATTTTGCCACAGTAAGAAAAATGCTCCAGCATCCACTGCAGGCATCCCTCTGTTACCCGCCCCTCCCCCCCCCCCCAGCCCCACTCCTCTTAAACTGCACCGCTCCCCCTGCTGAGCTCAGATCACACATTTTGGCTTAGTGCAAGGCAGGACTGCCTGTCTCCCACTGTTGGAACAGTGCCTTCCTGTCCCTGATTCCTGGCACCTGGCCCGCAGCCTAGGAATTTTTCATACCTTCATATCCCCCATGATGTCTCCTGGGAATGCCCAGTGCAGACAGACGAAAGCATCAAATGAGAAGGGACGCTCCCCTGGCCGATCATTGGTCTCGGCACTGCTCCCTCCAGTTTGCCCAATTCAAGGTGTCCAAGGACAAGGCATCTTCTGTTTCCTTCTCCCACTTCAGTGACTGAGGGCTTAACTGGGGCCTTTCTGAAACACTTTTTTTTTTTTTTGACATTGACTTTTGAGAGAGAGAGAGAGAACAAGCAGGGGAGAGACAGAGAAAAAGAATCCTAAGCAGGCTCTGCACTGTCAGCGCAGAACGTGACTTGAGCTGAAACCAAGAGTCGGACGCTTAACCGACTGAGCCACCCAGGAGCCCCTCTAAGGCACTTTTAAGGAGCTTTCCTGGTTGGTGATTTCACCATCTGCACCCATGCCCATTTATGTCATTTCATTTTCCAGGGGTTCTAACGTACTTCGCAGGTAAAATTAAATTTCCTTCCAACCTGCAGCCCATTGACACATACTTGAGGTAAACACAGAGTGTAACATTTCTCCAGGAACTCCCTGCTGTCTTAACGTGAATGCTTTGTTGGAGGGAAAAACCACCTTAGCTCCACAATAGCTCTGCCTCCAGTTTCCTGTGAATCTTCTTTAAGCATATGAAAATCTCTTTGGAAACTTCCTTTTTGCCTTTACCTCCCCAAGTCCACGGTATATAACCAGCCGTTCTTCACAACCCCAGTGCAGCTCTTTCTGCCCATGGGTCCTGTCCCCAGGCTTTAATAAAATCACCTCTTTGCACCAAAGACATCTTCAAGAATTCCTTCTTGACCATCAGCTCCAAACCCCACCATTACTCCGAAACCTCATCACAACCACCCCCACCACCCGGGGATGAGGGCAGGGGGATGGGAGAGAGGTTGGGCTGGAGGCTGCCGACTTGAGTCAGCAGCTCTGTGCCCTTCCTGCTAAAACTGAATTACAGTGAACAGCAGAACGGACAATTTGTTGATTCAGATCCCACCGCTTCCCCCTTCAAATAACATCAGTGTCCTAGGTTCCCCTTCTTGAAAATGAGATGAGAGGGGCGCCTGGGTGGCGCAGTCGGTTAAGCGTCCGACTTCAGCCAGGTCACGATCTCGCGGTCCGTGAGTTCGAGCCCCGCGTCGGGCTCTGGGCTGATGGCTCGGAGCCTGGAGCCTGTTTCCGATTCTGTGTCTCCCTCTCTCTCTGCCCCTCCCCCATTCATGCTGTGTTTCTCTCTGTCTCAAAAATAAAATAAAAAACGTTGAAAAAAAAATTTAAAGAAAATGAGATGAGAAAATGAGAAGGAACATGTAAATGCTCCTTTGTGGTCTAGCGACTGCAGACCCCTCAGGGAAAGGAGCCGCAAGTCAAATCCAGTGAATGAAAGGACTCTCGCAAGAGTCCTGTTTGATTGTTTCAACGTGGCTTTTCAGATGCGAGGGAAAGGAAAACCAGAGAAACTAAAATGTTGTCAAAAATCATTTCTAAATCCCCAGAACTGTGATTCACATTACCCTCAGGAAGCAGAGTCCCTCAGAACCAGAGCTTCCATGGAAACTTCAGGAATGTAAAAGGGACTGTTCTGATGGTGATTTCAGAGGTAAAGATTTTAACGTTCATCTCTTTTGCTCATTTTGAATATGAAAACTGCTACCAAGGAAGCACTGTTAAGCAGAGAGGCCCTGGAGGCTCTTTACCATCTTTTAAAGTACTCTATAAATAATATCACCTCTTGAGATAAGGAAGATCTTTTGAGAGAAATTACCCAAAACTACGGCTGCTACAAAAGGGAGCAGAAAAAAGAGTCAGCATTAGAATAAGCATGGGCTAGATAGGCTGTCCAATAGAATATGAGAGCCACATCATTTAGAATTTTCTAGTAGCCACATAAAAAAGTAAAAGGAGGGGTGCCTGGGTGGCTCAGTCCGTGAAGCGTCCGACTTCCCTTAGGTCACAGTCTCACGGGTCGTGGGTTCGAGCCCCACATTGGGCTCTGTGCTGACAGCTCAGAGTCTGGAGCCTGTTTTGCATTCTGTGTCTCCCTCTCTCTCTGTCCCTCCCCTGCTCATGCTCTGTCTCAAAAAAAACACCAAAAAAAAAAAAAAAAAAAAAAGTAAAAGGAGACTGGTGAAATTAATGATAATAATTATTTTAACCCAATATACCAAAAATATAATTTCAATATATAACCAATATAAAACATAGTGAGACATACATTTTTTTGGTACTAAGTCTTAGAACTACCAGCCATGTATTTTACACTTACAGCATATGTCATGTCACACTAGCCTCATTTAAAGTGCTCAGTGGTCACACGTGGCCAGTGGCTACCATATTGGACAGGGTAGGTCAAAACAGAATGCTGTGCCCACATCTTTGCTCCTACTCAAAGGCTTGTGCTTTAAATTTAATTGTGCCTTTGCCAGTGTCTTTCTTCTGGCCTGGGGTTCTCTCTTCTTGAAGCCTAGCTCCTTTCTGAAAGATTATCTGACCTTCTCAGAAGGGCGCGTGTCCTCTGCTTGAAACTCAACAAGTCAGTGAGTACTCACACCACCTGCTTGCGAAGAGTTGTGCATCAGATACCTCCCTCTGAAGCAGCTTTCGTCTGGAGTGAGAGTTGGTGGCTGCTTCCCCAACCGCTCTCGCTCTCTCTTGCCTTGTTTTGTTTGTTGCGACTTGTCCTCGTTCTCCTCAAATGAGCCATAGACCTGTTCAATTCAGGCATCTGGTCTCAGTGTCTCCACGGTACGCGTCCCCACGCCAACCTCCGCGTGGCAAATGCCAAGCACAGCTAGAAGAAACGAGATGGGGAAAGTTAAGTCTGTGGGTGAAGAAGTGTTCCGTTCCTCTGAGAGCAAACTGCGGGTGCTCAGGGTCATTCCTTCTCCTTCAACCAAAGCCTTGATGAACCTGGGCCAAGAGATGTAATAAAAGTGCACAGCAGAGGCCCTCCAAAAATGTCTGCCCACCAGTGAGCTAAGGCATAGACTTTCACCACCCAGGTGGAAAAAAACAAATACTGCATGTGTTCCCTTGGCAGGATCAGGCACTGAAATTCTGAAGAGAGAACTTCGAAGTCAGCGAGTAGAGAACAACTTGGGACTATAATGGGCTGGCTTATGGCGGCTCCCTTTCCACACCCAAAGCCCTTGGTAGACAGAGAAGCTCACAGTTCCGAGGTCAGAGTGTTGTTGAAAACCAACTCTCATATTTTGCAGCCAAAATGGAACTCCAAGAGAGAATGTGGAATAAAGAGGAGCATTAGCTCTCTTGCTTTGCTGGGCAAAAGAGGCTGCCGCCCGCTGAGGCCTTTAAAAATTGCAAGCTGGGTGAGAGGAAGGGGCTGGTGGGTTTAATAGGGAAATAACGGGATCTTGCCACTTTCAACAGGAATTGTGTACCTCCTGCCAGCCTCTTTCGTTACATTTTCCAGGTGGTACCGGGTTCCTGAAGCAAAAGGCTAAGAAGGGAGGAGGGGAGTTTTGCAGAAGAGAGGAAAAGATTACTCAGTTGCAGCTTCGTGAAGCATTAGTGCAGCCATATTGATTTTTGTTCAACTCTATGCTTTTAAGCGGTTTCAAGAGAAGTGAATCAAATTTTTACTCTCCTACTAAGAGCTATCTATATGACCTCCAGGAGCTTCAGGTTTCTCTTGTGTAGAATGGGATAATAATATCTCATAGGCTTTCTGAACTTTTATTTGGAAGTACTTATAGACCCACAGGAAACTGTAAAATTAGAACAGAAAGGTCTCCTTTACCCTTCACCCAGCCTTCCCCAATGGTAACATCTTACAAATTACAGTATGATATCAAAACCAGGAAATGGACATTGGTACAATCTACATGCTTTATTCAGATTTCATCAGTTTTACATGCACTCATTTGTGTGTGTGTGTGTGTGTGTGTGTGTGTGCCTAGTTGGTACAATTTCTCACCTGCATAGATCTGTGTGACCACAATCAATCAAGATACAGACTGGTGTTTTAAAGTTTATTTATTTTATTTTGAGAGTGAGTGAGAGACAGCAAGTGCATGCAAACAGGGGAGGGGCAGAGAGAGAAGAGGGAGAGAGAATCCCAGGGAGGTTCCTCAATGTCAGCACAGAGCTGACTCCATCTCACAGACCATGAGATCAAGACGCAGACCATGAGATCACAGACGCAAGGCTCCATCTCACAGACCATGAGATCAAGAGTCAGACACTTAACCAACTGAGCCACCCAGGCACCCCAGAACTGTTTTATATCTACAAAAGGATTCCACGCTTCTCCTTTATAGTCAGTCCCCCACCCACACTTTCCCAATCCCTAGCAACCACTAATCTATTCTCTACCTCTATAATTTTGTCATTTCTACAATGCTTATATAAGTAGAATCATACAGAATATAACCCTTGGAAATGTCGCTTTTTTTTTTTTCACTCAGCATCATGCCCTGGAGATCCATTCATGTGGCTGCATGTATCAATAGCTCATCCCTTTTTTACTGTTGAAGAGTTTTCCATACAAGCTAGTTTTGAGGATCCCACAGAACAGCACAAAGGCAAGTCACGAGCACAGTGCTCAGCAAACATTAGGTCTTTCCTGGAAGCTGATTCTGAGCTCTTGCTGAAGATCAACACCAGCCTGGGGCAGTGATTCACCCTGCCCATGAATTTACACTCTCCCTCAGTGTGTTTCCCTATTGTATACAGCCTTGTGGTCAGAGCTCGTCTGGTCCGCTCCTTCCTTGCAGGGTGGAGGGTAGTACGGCGCAGAGAGAGAGGAGGCCAAGTACGAGACGCCAGGTCATGCATTCAGGGTTCCTTCCACTGTACTGTGCCTGCTCCCCAGCCCACAGCCTATGGCAGGTGGTTAATCCCGCACTTGGCCGGGGGCAGTCTGTGTACAGCGCGTCAGCTGGGAAACTGGGCTCCTCACCAAGTCAATGAGTCACCCCTGAGCACTGATTGAGTTGGGGCAGGGAGCCAAAGATTGTCAGTTTTCCCCTAGATACAAAGCTCCGGGGTGGGGCGGGGGGAGCCTTCAAAACTTCAAAGGCAACTTAACTACAAGATGAGGTTGGCATTCATTCATTCAACAAAGGCTTTTCAAACTCCTACTGTAACAGATGACGGATATAAAGTTGAGCAAACCAGTAGGCTTTGGTCTTCATGGAGTCTCCTGGGAATTTGGGCGGGGGGGGGGGGCGTGCTGGGGGAGGCTGACAAAGACGAAGTCTTTGTTTCCATCCATCATTTCACTTCTCCTAGCTGTCTGCTCAGTGTGGGGCTCAGACTAAATAGCCTCTGAAGTCTAACATCTTTGCTTCTGGGATCAATACTGTCACGCTCTAGATCCTTGGAACCCGGACAGAAAAAGAAAGGAATCAGTATTTGTTGAGTACCTGTATGCCAGGCATTTAAAAATATACATTATCTTCACAATCTAGTGAGAATGTTCCCTTAGTTTGGGGATGATAGATGTAATCAAGTGATTTAAGGGAACGGCTGCTTAAGGCAAGCTGCCCGAGTCCTGTCTGACCTCTGTATGACCTTGGCCCCTGACTCCTCTAGTCCTTGGTCTCCTCATCTATAATATCTATGTCATCATGGGGTTTCGATGAGGATCAAAGGCATCTAAATAAAGGCACTCAACATTGTGCCGGCACATGGAAAACATTTAATTCTTGTTTAAAAAAAAAAAAAAAAAAGCCAAGTTCACAAAGTAAACCATATTTGAAAACTAGAAAACCCCCAACTCATGAAAAGGCAGGCAGCCTGGCGCACTGCAAAAGCTCAATTTGAGTTTTGATCAGAAAATCTGGTTCAGTGCCTTAGCTCTAAAATTACAAGAGGTGTCTGGGAAAGTCATTTAAAATGTTCTTCCTTGTGCCAAAGTTCACCTTTCAGGACTGTTGTGAAAATTCAAGGATATTATGCACCTGGCACCGAATAGAGCTCAGAAATAATGGCTATTTGTCTTACCTCAAACAGAAACCCACTAATGACAGCTAAGGACAAGGGAAGCCCCTTGAATGTTTTCATAGAACCCAACGGCTGGGCACTTGGCTGGGAAAGTATCTGGAAAGGTCGTTGCTAAGACAGGAAAACCTTCACTGTTTCCAAGAGCAGCTGGATACTTGATCCCGGGGTTTCGTGCCTGGGCCCCACACGAGTGGCAGCAGAGAGATGATGGGACTGTGAGGGTGGCTTGGGGATTTTCGGAACTACTCAGGAGTGTCCCTGAGTCAGCGAGCCAGATGGGCCCTGTGGGTGTGAACCTGCCAGCATTTGGAGCAGATGCTGGAGAAGCTTCCCCGGGGGACCCCCTAGCCCCCCGCCTTTGTGCTGACAGGCCAGCGTGGGTGTCAGCGCCCCTGTTCCCACGGGAGGGCACCGCGCACCCCTTCCCAGCTTGGAGCAGGGAGGAGTGAGGCCCCAGGCTGGCCAGCCCCTCCTCCCGTTCCTCCCCATTTCTTCCTTTGGTTTCCAGCCCCCGCCCAGGGCCTTGCTCTGCCCACTTAATGCTTTTAGGACTGAATCATTCAGGAAGAGGAAGAGTGTCATAATTTTCTGACACGTATTTTTCTAGCAACCTGTAACATTTCAGTCAAGCATTACTGGCTTGGGAGGAATTCTTTTTCAAGTGCATTTAAAGAGGGCTCAGAGGGTGGGCTCTCCAGCTGGCAGGCTGGCTCCCAGTGTGGTTTTGGTGCTTGACTTCAGGGCTCCTCAGCCTCCTGATGATTCCATATTCAGCTGAAAACTGGGGATAGTATCACCTACCTCAGAAGACCCTTGTGAGGTTCAAATGAGGGAAGACATACAAAGAGCTACGGTGCCTGGCACAAGTGAAGTCCGTTAGCTCTTCTTCCTTGATTTGACTCCCTTCGCTTGCTGTACAATGTAACCCTCCGTCAGCCGGTACTACGTTTTCAGGCTCTTGGTGGTTGCCTCACAATGGGAATCTATCCAGTTTACGGACGCTGAAAGGAGCCTGGTGAATTTAGGCTTCTGATGCTTCTAGAATCCATACTCAAAGAAGTCTCGGCTTATCCTCTCAGGTCCTCAGCTTCCTCATCTATAAAATGGGGACCATAATAGAATTGTTGAGAAGACCTATTGAGTAACATAGGTAGAGCACAGAGGCCCCGCGGAAACCCACACCCTATGGCAGATGTAATTATTCCCAATGTCACGGCTAAATCAGATAACATATACAAAGTGCTTGGGCCAGCGGATGCGCAGGATAGATTAGCCATTGCTCCCATAATCAGTATTAGGTCCATCCTTAAGAAACCAACTTTGGATTTGATACCCCCAAAAAGAATCGTTTTTGCTGTGGATAGCTTCATGTGCATTTTTGCCTTGTACAAGAACTGAAGGTACTGAGGAGAGTGTTTGCCTCACAGCCCATTGTCAATTCCAGAAGATTCTATTTGGACGAACTGCTTGGCTTCAGAAAGACACATGGATTGCAGGCAGGCACCCCATGTGCACAGTTAACGGGGCCTATTAAAACAGTGAACCACTAAAACGTAATGCAAAAGGTCTGCTGGGATTCACCCAGAGTTGTATAGGGCCTTCAAGTCTGAACTTCCTGTAGAAATCACTTTTGGTGACCCCAACATGACCCATTGGAAGGACGTGATGAAGATAAAATTCAGGCAGTTCTGAACCAGAGCCAGGGGACACTGGGTGCTACAAGCTATTGTCTCAGCTTTTAAAACATATGTTGCCATAAAATGAACATAACATCCAGAAACAATCTTGCCAGAAGTCAGGAATTATCCACAGGGGGAAAAACTTGCAAGTTGTTTGCCAAGAGAAGATATCGTAAATCTCTTTCGTTGTCAGAATCGCTGTGCGGCCCCAGGCCAGACCCCAGTTTCTGTAGTGCCAGGGGCAGAGCAGGTAGAAACTGATGGTGGAGGAAACCCTGTATGGACCTGGAGCCAACCTGGGGTCGCGTGCGCTCATAATTCAGAGGCTGAGGTTCAGGGTGAGACATGTAGGCAATAATCAGGAAGACCCAAGCTCTCCAGCGGTGGTCAGAAGCAACCATCCTAAACCAGATGGCATGGCATCTTCTCACCTAGGAATTTTCTAGAGCTGTCCTCTTCCTCTCAATTCACAGAAACATGTGACGGCATCTCAACACGTCCTGGCCTGAGCTGAGCACAGTCTTCCATTTGTAGTAGGAAAGAACAGAGGTCCAGTAGGGTTATTAATTCTCATGATCTGAAAACCAATGAGCTTGTAACCTTTAAAGTTTGTCTCAGTCTCATCACCAGTTTTGCGTTTAACACTGTGAAATAACACAGCCATGCGTCCATTCACTCAGCAAATATGTGTTACTACTAAATGCCTTCCTTCTTTAAATGTCACCACCTCGTCTCCATTCCCATGTGGCGACACCCTCCTCTTCCATTCGTCTTGTAACTACTTTTTTGGCTGCCCAGGAAATTTACAGCAAGAGCTATGGTATAATTTGCACAATATCTACGATCCGCATGGTGGGCTACGCGGGTTTTTACATCTTCATTTCCTTTTACACGAGGTGATAAACCAGAGAGCTGAATTTGAAGGTTTGGTGATGGCGTGCCGAATACAAATTAACAGCCTGTGTCCAGAGCCTGGAGGTTGGATCCCCATTAGACACTTCAAACCAATATCAGAAACAGGCTGCTCCGTCCACCACCTCCCTTACCCCAGCTATTCTTCCCCACTTCCCAATGGGCATCAGCTCTTTTAATTCTCTCTATATCCCCTTCAATCCCTGGTCTGCCTGGAGTGAGTAAAAAGAACGGGGAAAATGTGGACAGTTGAAGCTGTGGTTCTCAAAGTGTAATCCCCGGATCAGCAGCAGCACCAGGGAGCCAGTAGAAATGAGGGGCGCCTGGGTGGCGCAGTCGGTTAAGCGTCTGACTTCAGCCAGGTCACGATCTCGCGGTCCGGGAGTTCGAGCCCCGCGTCAGGCTCTGGGCTGATGGCTCAGAGCCTGGAGCCTGTTTCCGATCCTGTGTCTCCCTCTCTCTCTGTCCCTCCCCCGTTCATGCTCTGTCTCTCTCTGTCCCAAAAATAAATAAACGTTGAAAAAAAAGAAATGCAAACCCCCAATCCCCACACCAGACCTACTGAATCAGAAACTCAGTGGGGGCGGAGGGGCAGCTATCTTAACAAACTATTTTTTTTAATGTTTGTTTATTTTTGAGAGAGAGAGAGAGAGAGAGAGAGCGCACACAGGAGAGGGGCAGAGAGAGACACGCACACAGAATCCAAAGCAGGCTCCAGGCTCTGAGCTGTCTGATGCGGGGCTTGAACTCAACAAACCATGAGATCATGACCTGAGCTGACATCCGAAGCTTAATCAACTGAGCCACCCAGGCGCCCCTTAACCAACTTTTTAAAAGAATTTTATTTATTTATTTTGGGAGAGAGAGACAGAAAGTGGGAGAGGGGCAGAGAGAGGGCTGGAGGGAGGGGGAGAGAGAGAGAGAGAGAGAGAGAGAGAGAGAGAGAGAGAGAATCCCAAGCAAGCTCTGCACCATCAGTGTAGAGCCCGATGTGGGGCTCAAATTCACGAATCATGAGATTATGACCTGAGCCAAAAGCAAGAACTATACTGAACCGCCCAGGCGCCCCATAACCAACGACTTTAACAACCATCAAGATGATCCCAAAGCTTGAGAAGAACTAATTCAAACCATGGCATAGAGTGAAAGGCATCAACTCTTGGTCATAAATTAAGCACCTATATAAAGTATCTGTTTAACCCAGCCTAAGCTGATAAAGAGTCCTTGAGAGCACTCCCAGCAGCTTTACCACTGCCTTTGTTCTGCCTTCCCGCTTTCCACGGGCCCCCAGAAAAGGGAATTCCTACAAAGAGAGAATATCAGTCCTGTTGCCCATATTCTCACTCCTCCCACTTAGCAGTGTCTTTGGAGACACCAAGATCAAGGCTCTGTGTGTGTGCCCCTTCAGTGTTTCTACATCTCTGGTGAAACGAAAATGTTTCTTCCCACAAAAAGATTAGGATACATTTCATATTAAGAGTGAAGCCTGTAAGAGGCGCCTGGGTGGCTCGGTCAGTTAAGCACCAACTTCAGCTTGGGTCATGATCTCACCATCCCCAAGTTCGAGCCCTGCTTCCGGCTGCGCTGACAGCTCAAAGCCTGCTGTGGATTCTGGGTCTCCCTCTCTTTCTCTGCCCCTTCCCCGTTCATGCTCTCTCTCAAAAATAAAGATTAAAAAAAATTTTTTTTTTAAAGAGTGAAGTTTTAAAAAAATCTGCTTGGAGGGGCACCTGGGTGGCTCAGTCAGTTGAGCATCCATCTTCAGTTCAGGTCATGATCTTGAGGTTCGTGGGTTCACACCCCACATGGGGCTCACTGCTGTCAGCATGGAGCCTGCTTCAGATCCTCTGTCCCCCTCTCTCTCTGCCCCTCCCCTGCTCACAATTGATCAAAAATGAGTGAACATTTAAAAAATTGTTTTAAATATTTAAAAATCTACTTGGAATGGCTACAATGAACAACTCAGGCAATGACAGATATTGGCAAGGATGCAGAGAAAGAGGAATGCTTTTGCACTGCTGGTGGGAATGAAAACTGGTGCAGCCACTCTGGAAAACAGTATGAAGTTTCCTCAAAAAATTAAAAATAAAACTACCCTATGACCCAGTAGTTGCACTACTAGGTATTTATCCAAGGGATACAGGTGTGCTGTTTTGAAGGGGAACATGCACCCCAATGTTTATAGCAGCACTATTGACAATAGCCAAAGTATGGAAAGAGCCCAATGTCCATCAATGGATGAATGGATAAAGAAGAAGTGGTGTATGTATATGTGTGTGTGCGTGTGTGTGTGCGTGTGTGTGTGTGTACACATACACAATGGAGTATCGCTCGGCAGTCGAGAAGAATGAAATCTTGCCATTTGCAATGACATGGATGGAACTAGAGTGTATTATGCTAAGCAAAAGTAGTCAGATAAAGACAAATATATGACTTCACTCATATGAGGAATTTAAGATACAAAACAGATGAACATAAGGGAAAGGAAGCAAAAACAATAGAAAAAAGGGAGGGGACAAAACACAAGAGACTCTTAAATATAGAGAACTGAGGGCTGCTGGAGGGGTTGTTGGGGGGGGGACAGACTAAATGAGCAAGAGGCATTAAGGAGGACGCTCACTGGGATGAGTACTGGGTGTTATATGTTGGGGAAGAGTCACTGGCATCTACTCCTGAAATCATTATTATACTATATCCTAACTAACTTGGATGTAAATTAAAAAGTAAATTTAAAAAATCTGCTTGGAGATATTGCATGATCATGTCATGAGAAGTTAATTGAGGGGGAGGGAATGAGACACATATAAACACAAGGCAGCTGAATGGTTAAATGTACACCCACCTGTGTCTTTGCCAGGGGTCCACCACATCCTGGGAGATCTCAAAGTTCAGTCCAGGTCAGGCCCTTACATGGCCCCACTTGTCTAACTTTCTTCTCCACATGATTTCAGCAGTTCAGGGGCAGGGCCTGGAGGTTGAGTCTGGCTGCCTGTAACCACCGGAGGGTCAACAGAAGCGAGAATCCAGGAAGTGAGGCAGAGAGCTCTTCAGGCAACAACAAAGCTTGTTCTCAAATACATGCTCAAATAAATGCAACTGCATGAAACCACAGGGGTTATCTCTTTTTTGTTTGAAACATAGAAATAACCACAAGTTGGGGGGCGCCTGGGTGGCTCAGTCGGTTAAGCACCCGACTTTGGCTCAGGTCATGGTTTCACAGCTGGTAAGTTCGAGCCCCGCGTCACGCTCTGAGCTGTCAGCCCAGAGCCTGGAACCTGCTTCAGATTCTGTGTCTCCCTCTCTCTCTCTGCCCCTCCCCTGCTCGTACTCTCTTTCTTTCTCTCTCAAAAATAAGTAAACGTGAAAAAATTTGTTTTAATAACCATAATTTTTAAATGTCAAGAGGGAGAGAAACAAATCTATCATTTCAAAAGCCTAACCTAATGGCTACTGTAGGTTTTTGCATGAGATTTTCAGTCTTGGGCCGTTTGCACTCTGTGCTGAAGTATGCCTTGTGTTTTGTGGGTGGTCTTTTCTCTTAATGTCATCATTAATGCATTTTCTCCAGGTTGTTGCCGGGCAAACACTGCAATCTAACCAGAAGGTTACCTAGAACCATAGAACATCAGAGCTATATAGGACTCTGGAGGTTGTCTTCTCAAGGAATTCTTAGTTAGTTCTTCATAGATGCTTTGTGCCACACCTGAAATTATTTGCAGAATTTTACCATAAACATGTACACCTTGCTAGGGATAACAATATCTGTTTTTCATCTGATCCTCCAAATGGCTTAGACCCCCCCAAATGTGATCCATTCTTTCCACAAGGGTCACTGTGTACAGCCCTTCAGGCTGTTCCTTGCACAACTCTGGGTGGGAGATTCACCCACTCAGGGTATAACACCCCATAGAAATGTGCAGTGCACAATCTGTATACACGTGGATGATGGGCCTGCATTCTATTCTATACTCATTTTATGCTTGGCACCAAAGAGCAGAGACGTGATTTGCCCTTTCCTTCCTTCCATAGCTCCTTGCAGATAATTCTTTCATTACTGAGATTATACTGAAATGACTTTAGGAAGTATGTTTAATTCTAGGATTCAGTATTAAGAAATCCACTGTTGCACCTGTTGTCATGTTTTCCAATGTCAGTTTTATTACTAATAAAACCAACGTTTTATTCTACCTGAGCCTGACGCCTTTTTAAAAGAATTTTTTAAATGTTTATTTTTGAGAGAGAGAGAGAGAGAGAGAGAGAGCAGGGGAGGGGCAAAGAGAGAGGGAGACACAGAACCCAAAGCGGGCTCCAGGCTCCGAGCTGTCAGCACAGAGACTGATGCAGGGCTCGAACTCGCCGACTGTGAGATCATGACCTGAGCCGAAGTCAGAGGCTTAACTGACTAAGCCACCCAGGTGCCCTCTGACTCCTTTTTATTTTGCGGTTGTTTCCCAAATTCAGGTAGACAAGAAGGATGCTATTTATTGTCCCCTAAATCTTCTTTTTAAGTTATTTTTTTCTTGTGGAAATAATTCTTTTTTTTAATTTTATTTTAGACAGAGAGTGAGTGAGGAGGGGAGAGGAGCAGAGGGAGAGAATCAAGGAGGCTCCACTTTCAGCCCAGAGCCTGACATGGGGCTTGATCCCATGAACCTGGGATCATGACCTGAGCTCAAATCAAGAGTTGGACGCTCAGCCAACTGAGCCACCCAAGACCCTGTCCCTTAAATCTTAAGCATGTTCATGAAGAGTCAATCAACAATTCATGAATAAAAGAAGTAAAAAAAATAGCTGTACAAGGCAATGAGGACTAAGGACCCAATGAAAAATTAATTCCTTCTGTACTTCTAGCTGCTAGAAATATTTCCCTTAAGGGTATTTTCATACTTTGCTGTTTCTCTATTTAGAAGCCTCAGTTCCCTCTTCTATTAAATTTTGCAAGGGCTTCTATGAATTTTAACGATCAATAGCTGATCCTCATGGTTCTCAAAACACAATTACATGAGTTGATGTCTCAACAGGAAGAACAGGTGTCATCTCCATTTTACACAAAGAGAAAAAAATAAGACTGGAGAGACGGTATGACTACACTTTGTGAGTGGCACAGCTGGGCCTCAGCCAAGGTATGTCTGGCTTGGAATTCATCACACTAAGACCCCATTCCAGGCAGTGTGATAGACAACACAAATGATCACCAATATCTAGTTCTCCTCTACTTCTAGGCAAACAGAGGATTGGGCTTCCCTTAGAGTTGGACATGGCTGCTTATATTGGCTAGTTATGACCAGTAATGAGAAAAGGCATTGGTGTCACTTTTGCACCAAAGCATTTAATTCTTGGTGGCCAACTCATCAGCTCTCCTTCTTTCCCTGTTACAACTTCCAAGGCATAGAAGCAAGTTGTTATATGGAGGTGCCATATGATCAAAGCAGCCTAGAATGATAAGACAACAAATGGAAGACATTTGCTCTGGTGAGCCACCTGATCCTGTAGCTGACTTTTCAGGAGCAAGAACTTAACTTGTACTGTGGGGCAGTCAAGAAGATTTGGGGATTGTTTGTTATCACAGCATAACCTAGCCTACCCTAATTAATACCAACAGACTCCCTATGGGACTGGTCTTCTCTCTGTTACAGCTCAGGCTGGTGCTCTGAGAGACACGTGAAACCATGCTCAAATGTACTTCCATCCTCAAATTCAGCAATCTCCTTTGTATCTGGAGACTTCAGCTACCACATTTTAAACCATGGATATGGCAGAAGATATAGCCCAGAGGAGGAGAGTTGGGAAGGGGCAGATTCCTGCATGGTTGAGGGGAGACATCCCCTCAGGTGTAGTACATGCTGTGGGCTGGGTCGTATATGAGTTTCCCATGATTGACTGTAGTGGCCTAATGAGATGAGGTCAAGATCATCATCCCAAGACCACAAGGAAAGGAAAAGATCAAAGTAGCAAATGAGGGTCAAGTAAGAGAAAAGGGTCAACCTGGCTGGGAGCTGATTCAGCACCACAGACAGATCCCGTGGGCCTATTCTGATTATTTTTCCCAGGCAGCTCAGTCTTCAGTTAGCCCTGCCTTTGAAGTGTCCTTGTAGGTTCCAAATGCCCAGCGCTTCCCAAGTAAGAGCTTGTCGTGCCCTAGACCAGGGACCATGTCCTTATTCATCCAACACAGTGCCCCCAACTTATTTTTCTCCATTGTATACGATGCATGAGAATATTTACCTGGCATCCTGGGATAAATGCTTGGGGCTGCTTCTGGCTAGAGGTGGCAAACCTGTGAGCTCCAGCAAATCCAAGCCCTGCCTTATGGTATCCTACCACACTTGTAATATCCTCCTGGGAAGTTCTGATCCAGTAATCCCTCCTTACCCTCTACTTGTCAGGGACTCGGCTAGGTCTTCTAGGTGACCTTTGGGCCAAGCTAGGTCTGGGTCTTCCATCACTTGACCCTGGCTCCTTTGGACCCTCTTCCCAAATCTTACTATGCTCATAGCTAGGCCAGAGGTCCAGAAGACCAAGGCAAAGCACCTGGGACTCCCCACTCCCTCCTACACTCATTTATTCATTTGGCACATATCAAGCACCTGCCATATATTAGGTTGATAATTACCTCTGAGAATACAGTGGAGAACAAGATGGATATGGTCCTGCTCTCCCATAGCTTACAGTCCATTAGGGGAATCATTAACCAGCACTTATAAGAAAGTCTGATTAGTATTATGATGGGGACATACACAGATGCTATGGATTGCCTAGCTGAGGAAACTAACTTGGAGGATGGGTGAGTTCAGGGAGGACTTTTGACAAGTTTTAGTCCCCTTTTGAACTATTCCTTAATATGTATCTAACTATACGTAACTGTGGGGATCTAATGGGTGGCATGAAGTATGGATTTCCCATGACTTTAAATTCCGCAAACATTTTCCAGGCACTATGTTGGATGTTCACCCTTGAATTACCTAACAACAACACTGAGGGAAGGGTTTTGTTTTTCTAATTTTCTGAGGCCCCATGGCTAGTTTACAATGGACTCACATGTTGGACTCTTTCCCATGCTACACTGAGCCTATGGGAGCTCCACTCGCCCTCTGTCCTGCTTCTGAGAACACATACCTCAGCATTCTGAGAGCTCAGGTCCTTATGCCCTTGAAGTCTTCTGTGGAGAAGCAGCATCCAAGTTAGCTACAATTTCCTCAAGGTGTTTGGTTGCTTCCAAGAAGTGTTCACTGCGTGTGTGAGCGGTAATAGGACTGCTCTTGTGTCCCCTTGATGTAAGAAGGTGGCAAATGTCCCTACAACCCGCCACCAAGGATTTCCTTCCACCAGGTGAAAGTGTCCTTGTGGAAAGAGAACAGTGATCCTCACATCACTCCAGCCAGAGGCGCAGACAGGAGCAGAGGCAGCATGAAATCCCCGGGACACACCCCTGTCCTGTCTTATTGTGAAGGAGATTTGGCTCTTCCTTATTGTGATTTTCACTCCAGACTTGATGGCTCTAGCTGTGTTCCTGCCAGAGTTGCCCATCTTCCTCTACGTTTAAAAATGAGATACCTGGGGCGCCTGGGTGGCTCAGTCGGTTGAGCGTCCGACTTCAGCTCAGGTCATGATCTCGTGGTCCGTGAGTTCGAGCCCCATGTCGGGCTCTGGGCTGATGGCTCAGAGCCTGGAGCCTGCTTCCGATTCTGTGTCTCCCTCTCTCTCTCTGCCCCTCCCCCGTTCATGCTCTGTCTCTGTCTCAAAAATAATAAACGTTAAAAAAAATAATAAAAAATAAAAGAAAAATGAGATACCTGTTTACCTCTTTTTTTTTTATGGGTTACTGTCAGGCAACGATTCTCAAACTCAGGGACCACAAGTGTCCAGAGGAGCACCCACAGATAGACCTCAGCTAGTTTTACTGCATATAATGTGAAAAGGTCTGTGCTTTCCTTGAAGGCAGAACTTCAGTTAGTCTTTCTCTTCTCACCTCAAGTGAACATGACCTCA